TATAGATATATATATATATATATATATATAATTTGATTATTTTATGTACCAGTCGACACAAAAAAGTATTTTATGTATCAAGATCTGACTATCCTCCCTACCTTGGCCAATCCAATCCAATCCAATTTCACATATTTGAGGACCAGATTATTAATTTAGACCAAAAAGAGGTGAAGAATAATGATTGCTTCCATCACTCAAAATTTGAATCTTGTGAAGAAACTCGTGCAACAATTATGCATAGCTCAACAACAACAAGAGTTCATTATTATTGTTTTCTTATAATAATGATGGTCGACTTATCACACATCAACTATACCACTTGTATCTGTCATTTATATACCGCAATGAATAACTCTATTTATTAAGGCTTAGCTAAATAAGAGAAAATCGTCTAAATCCTAGAAACTCTATTTTATCAAGGTTTATGCAGATAAGAGAAATCGTCTAAATTCTAATGTAGGATTTGAACTCTCGACTCATATAGTCACATGGTCTTTATCGCATTTCATTGACAGCTACGTCATACCCTTGAATGGATCAAGAGTTTATTATCTTTATCGTTTCTTCTTAATTTAATTGATACCCCAATGCTCACCTTTTTAATGTGATGGGGTTGGAGCAGGAGTTTGGCCTGAATCAGAAAGCTTTAGTGATGAAGGAATGGGACCAATTCCATCAAGGTGGAAAGGAACTTGCCAACATGGTACAGACGCTAGTTTTCGATGCAATAGGTACTCTATCTCTATTTCCTTCTTCTCTTTCCCATTTTTCATTTTTTTTCCATTTATCTGCACTGCTCTGTCATCATAGGATAGTTTGCTCTTTTAAAAAATCTCCCTCAAGTGGCACATTATAATATTGAATTGAGACTGGCTTAAATGGGATATGAATAGTGAAAATTCATTTAGTTCATCCTAACTTATTTTTGAGATTGAGGCGTATTAATAATTGTTGTTATTATGGTATTTCTTTTGAAAATTCATGTAGTCCGACCTTATTTACTTGAGATTAAGGCGTATTCATAGTTGTTGTTATTATGGTAGTTCTCTACGCATTGTGCACTTTGTTGGATCAAATGGGAACTCAAAATTGTACCTTAAAATTTGGAAAAGGAATCTCCAATTGGAAAATATTGTTTTCCTTGTTCCTGATGTTTTAGAAGTTAGAAGGGGCGCTTTGGAGCAACAATAAAGTTGTTTTCGTGTGACCTATAAGTTACGGTTCGAGCCGTTGAATCAGCCACTAATACTTGCATCAAGTAGGTTACCTACATCATCGTTTTGGATGTGGGCCTTCTCCGGACCCTATGTGAATGCGAAATGCTTCGTGCATCAGGCTGCCATTTTTATTTATTTACTTATTTATGAAGCTTTAGAAGATGATATTGATATCTAGTGCTTGTTCTTTAACTAGGGGCGGCAATTTGAGCCCAAACCCATCCAACCCGTCAATTTAGCTCATGGGTTTATTTGGGCTGAGCCCAAGTTAACCTATTATTTTTTATAGCTCATTCTGACCCATTAAGTGGCCCACATACAACCCATGAAACTCACCCCAAAACAAAGGGATCTCAACCCAACTTATCTAGAAATTTAC